ACGGTTTGCTGCCCTAAAACACTCTGTTCAGGCCACCTTGAAAATAAAGGTCTTGTAGCTACAATTCTGTTCCCAGGTATGGCGCGCATCAGGCTTCACAGACAGTGGAAATAGCTTCTTCCCGGCTTTGCACTGCGAATCAGCCCCACAAAAGCGCTGGCTTTCGTTTTGCAGCTTCTCAGGTTCAGTGGAGAATCTTTGCATTTTCTAAATTATTTTGCACAGTACTTCACTTGACTATTTTCTGGCCAACATTCTCTCCTCTTTTTCCTTCATATTGACGCTGTAGATGAGAGGCCAACGAGAATAGGATAATTTGGGCCCGAGAGACACCCACTAATTATTCTTTTTAATGGTTGTGTATTTTCTCCTTTGATCCTTTTCCTTTATTTTTAAAATGTTTCTGTTTTTCTTGTTTATCAAAATTTGTTGTTTTTGTAGAAGTAGTAGCATGTGAGAACCCAAAAGACCGAAATATCAATGCAGGTGTTCATCCTCTTTATTTCAGTGCGAGGAAACCCATGGATTAAAATCACCGGGCCATCTTTCTTTGGTCAACCATGGAAGAACGTACGATCATTAATAAACTACATAAGAGTGACCAGACATATATTGGATTTTATGGGTGATTGTTCATCAAAAACAAAGAGAGCATACGATTGAACCCTTCATGAACGATACCATTTATTTTCATCTCTTTGTATTGTTTCTGGCAGTCATTTTCTTAGTCCACAAACAATAGAAAGTTGTACCCAGAGAACACGTCCACGAACATACTATTTTTAATGGTTTGTTCTTGCTTTATAAATTCTGTCAAGGGATAAACACAAGTGTATTTCTTTTCGTCCTTTAGAACTAGAATTCTTGTCAATAATGGTTTTGATCTCGGACTTTAGCAATCCTGCATTTTTGGTTTGTTTGGGACAATGTCCTACACGTTAGAACAGAAACCAACGACTCACAACCGAATGACGACCCCAAGCACCCTCACGGACCTCGGTCGCAGCTCTGTTCGGAAGACTCATGGGAATGGAGCTCCAATGACTGCAATCTGTTGGCGGGTGTTTGGATTGACCATGTCGGGAGGTTGGTCAATGATTCATTCGGAGCACCGGAACCCGCCCGAAATCGATTAGGAACCTACGGATCTGTTTTCATCTCATTTGGCATCATTCCATTTGCCACCCGCTCTGCTCGAGCAGAGCCGGTTCGCTGCGCTCCGTCCGAGGCAATGCTGCAGCGTTCCATTTTGCAGATCCGCAGCTGCACCAGGAGAGGCGATTCGCGTTGTCTCTACGACGACACGGGGACAGGGTGGAGCCGTGGGCAGTTAACTTTCTTGTTGAAGAGATACCCTCCATTTTAAATTTTGGGTGTTGACCCCGTGCAGATCAGGAGTTTTGCTGAATGCATCTGAATGCTATATGAGATGACCAGAACCAAGCTGTAACGGACGATGGTCCTTTTGGGGTGGCAGAAGGTGATGGAAGACTTCAGATTGGCAACTTCGAAGGAGTGATTGATTGCAATTTTCATCCATCACAGGAACGAAGACATTCTGTGAACATCATTTTTTTCATCCCGCACGTTCATTTTCATCCTATGTCTGCGTCCAACCTTCACCGCGTCGATCCTTTGCACCCGCATAGCAAGACGCGGTGCGGGAGGCGTCGAGCCATGCGAGTGTTCCGCAGGACACCGCCTTCTGGGAACGCTTGAGCCGCCACTTCCCCACGGCCTGGATCCGCTGGATGCGCTACGGGCGCTACGAGGATGGTCCCAGCCCCGGCTTTGAAGCGAAGCCGAAGGCGAAGCCGAAGGCAAAGGCCAAGGCCAAAGCAGCTGCGGTGAGCGAGGATGGCAAACGTAAAGTGAGATTTTAGATGATATTTTGCAGCGTTTTTCCTCCGCAACTGCGGAGAGTTTGAGGTTTTAGATTCTATGGGGTCCATTTTGGATGATTATAAATTCCTATGATGCCAGACACCCCAGAATGTGAGACCGATTCCACTGGCCATCCTTGCGCAAGCCGCTCGAAGCGCTGGTGGTGCGTCCACCGGGACCTGCCGAAAATCGGCTGGACCTGAAAGTTGGCCGGCTCCGGAGAGGGGGGGCAGAGGTGATTTCGTGTGATTGGGTGGTCTCCCCGAAAATATGTCGGACACTGTGGCCTCGTTCTTTTTTGGGACCGGTCACTGAAAAAGGCCTCCAAACATCATTACAATGCGGGTATCGTTTGGTATTGCAGGAAGGCAAGACAATATTATATATGTGAACATGGAACGAAGCACAACCAAAGAGCCTGTGAAGTAAACTTGGTCACCGCACATCGCTGGTGCAAGTCCGCGACATCTGCCAGCCGCGGGCCACTGCGACCTGCCATGTTCCGATCTGCGACCGCAGTTCCAGACGTGCGGCTGCCAGAGGGAGCCCTCTTGTATGGCTTCATTCACTTGAAGGAGCCTCCGCAGGCAGGTTTGTAGCTGACGCACCGGTGTTGTGTTGTGTTGTTTTCCAACGGAGATCTGTGAGACGGTGTAGCTGACGCACCGGTGTAGCTGTCGCATGAGTTCGATCTGTGAGATGTTCCATTTTCCAACGGATTCATACAGTCAAGCACGCCAGGGCCTTCGGCGGCCTAAAAGTTTGCCAGCCGGCTTCTTTAGCCAACAGGCACGGTAGACCGGCTTCTTGATGTTCAGAGCTTCGCCCGCAGCTGTAGCTACAGGATTTCCAGTCCCCGAAATGCCGCGATGGAGCGGTAGTGCTCCATATTGTAGTTGCAGGTGTTGCTGTAGTGGTCCCTTGGTCTCGTTGAGAAGGACGGCTATCTTGACTGAGTCTGGGAGTGTTTGTCCACTGTTTGTTTCGCACTTCGCCAGCTCAAATTCCCAGGTGGCGAAAGCTTCGGCGAAGCTGTTGCTATCTAGGCGTGTTAGGTAGCCAATGCTCATGGTGCCTTTTGGAATCGAGAAGCGTGTAGTAGGCTGCCTGTGCATCTCGAATCCTGTTCTTGCTGGATGTTGTTTGCAAACTGTTGCCGCCGTGCCAGAAGTGCTGCTGATGAGGATGTAGCGTAATTCTGCTGCAAGTTTTATGTTCTCCTTTGCTTCCTCCATCGTCGCTCCTGCATTCCTCAAAGCCGTGTCAGTTGTTGTTTGTGGTGCTGTCTCCGCTTGTTCAAGGAGAAGCGGTACCTTTGTGGACCAGGCCCATGTATGCTGTGAACTTGTACTTCCACTCTTCAAATGTTCCGAAGTTGCCATCGTAGAGTGGTGGCCGTAGCTTGTATCTATGTGTTGAGGCGAGTGCCTCTTCGAGTGGTTCCGGGATGTTGGCATTGTTGCTGTTGTCCCTGTGGAAGTCTCTCTCTCTGTCTCTCCAGCTGACAGGCTGAAACCAGAGATCGCATTTGCAGTTCAACGCCGGAGCCCCAACAGCATCTTCCTTCGACGACTTTCGGGTTTTGCTCAGTGGATGCAAGCACACCTCAGAAGAGAGTCTATCAACCCAGTTACCGATCAGCCGGACATGCTGTAGACATCGCCTAACTGGGTCGACGCCTTGTTGTGATGTGGCTCAGGTTCGCGAAGTTGATCCACCTGCGCAAGGAATCCGAACGCCATCAACATGGTCAGAGTCTTCATGAGGTTGGGCCGGACTTCTTGATTGGGACGATTCGATTCTTTTTGGTTCGTGATCTAGGTTGTCGGATTTTTTTTTTGAGGGTTCACGTTTCGTGGTTTCATGTCCGATGCATGTCTAGATCTTTGTTGAACTGGCACCTTTGCAAGTGGGATTCGTTCATGATGCTTACTATCGACAACCGAACCATTGTTGGCAGCAAAGTTGACTTGGTCCACTTTTCCTTCAAAACAGGTCTCAGAGGGGCTCCAATCTTGAGGCATCATGTATTAACTCAATAGAGATCCTACTTCATAAGTGAATCAGAGCTTGCACCCGTTTGGGAGGAACTCCACTTGGGATCTCCGAAAGATGGGGCTGCCGTTTTCTAAAGCATCGATGGGCCCAAGCCTACAAGCAGGGCTCCTGGTCTCCCAGAAGTGGAATGAAGATAAAGACCCACATTTGGAGGTGAAGTTGCAGTTCACTCTCCAAAAAAAAGAAAACCCAATGGTGCCCATAAAAGGTTCCTTCTTGCTGACCCCCAAGAGTGAGAGAAACTGGATCAGCACGGTCTGTGTCGGTGAATGTTCAATCCGTCGTCCCGGCGGTCCGCGTTGAGGCCAAGACCAGCAACATGTCCAACAAGCCGGGACCGACTCTCGAGAATGCAGGCGTTTCTTTGGCGTGGTAGTTAAGATGTGCTTGCTGGATGTGGTGGATGTGGTAAGGAAGGAATCAACTCAGAAGTGAATTTTGGATGATCTACCTCCGGGACTACACCAGCTAGTGATAGTGCTGGTGGGGGGAGTGGGAGTTCACAGATGGTGGAAACTGCAGAAAGTTCGAATGCGGCAGTGACATCAAGCACGGGGGCAAGTGGGAAACGACCCCAAACGAGCTCCTGGGCGAGGTCACATCACTCCTGAGGTCACTGAGGGCGCCGCGCCCACCAATCAGGGCGATCATTGCGAAAGTCACCTGTGAAGGTTGTGGAGTACTGCTGGACTCATCTTGCGAGCTCCAACATCGCAGGAAGAGTGGCAAGGCGCAAAAGAAACGGTGGTGCAAACCGCTACAGGCGATTGCATTCTGCGCCAAACTGAGAATGGGGTCTTACTGACCAATGATGGCGAAGTGGCGTCAATAATACCACTCGGAGAACTAGTAGCACAAGGGGGAGTCATCGATTGGCGACCTGGCCAATGTCGTTTGCGGCATCCAAGGGCGGGGACACTGGCAGTGAAAGTTGTCGCCAATTGCCCATATGTCTCGACTGAGGACGGCAAGCGACTAATGGCATGCTTGGAGTAGGAGAAGAAGAAGATCCATGGAGTGGTGAAGGCCTTGATCCATGGAAACCAAGAAAATCATGCCGAGGACTTCATGTTGGACCTCAACATGTTGAAGGGAAAATTCCCGGCCGTCCCACTGGAGCATTTGGCAAAGTTGGCAATTCGACAGGACATCAAGTCGACAGAGATTGCGTGGAGTATCGAGAGGGCCGATAATGTAGTCCTCAACCTATTTTGTGGGCCAGATCCTGCTTGGTGGACAAAAAGGGTGGTTGCAGGGTGGGTGATCTTGAACGTGGACATCCTCCAGAACCAAGACCTGTTGAACGATGCTACGATGGCATACTTGGTGGACGTGGCAAGATCAGGTAAGATAAAAACAGTCGTGGCTGGGCCACCATGTAGGTCAATCTCTGTTCTTCGTCTTCGAGAAGATGGTGGACCGCGTCAGGTGCGAGACCGTGAGGGCCCTGGAAGATGGGGCAAAAGTGATTTGACGCCGCATGAGCGCACATTGGTGGACACTGACACCCAGTTGCTTCTAAGGACTTTGGTTCTGGCAGAACTGTGTGAGTCAGCAAATCCGGGGGAGACCGGATTCATGGTGGAGACGCCGGAGGACCCATCGTGAGGGAGAAAACATGCCTACATTCACAGTGTGGCCGGAGGTGACACAGGTGCTGGAGACAGACTTGAAATTGAAGCGGATTTCAATTGAGCAAGGAGCATTGGGTCACGCACGGAAGAAACCAACATGTCTCTGGTCATCCATACCTGAAGTCACGCAACTGGATGGAATCAAGGACAGTAGAACATCAACGTCATGGCCAACGCACCTTGACCAGGCACTGGCGGAATCGAAGAGCTTTGCTGCCTGGGCGGTGGGGCTGAAGCAGGCGGTGGTGGATTCTTGGCAGAGAGTAGACAACTCAGTCCTGCCCAAAGTGAAGACTGTCAGGGAGGACACCAACTGGGCGTGGTATCAACACATACTGAATGGGCATGTTCCACATCGAAGGGATTGTCGTGAATGTCTCCGTCCACGTCTTCGACAGCAGTTTCCCAGTGCCTTCACAATGGCAGTGGACGTGGCTGGGCCCTTTGCCCCAGGATGTGACCAGGATATGGGACAGCCGAGATACTTCTTGGTGACCACAGTGACAGTACCTGTCCGCCATGACAAACCTCTTATCTGGGGCTGGAAGCCAGATGACTCAGTGGAGGATGTGGAGGAGGGTGCTGAGCACACATTCAGGACAGGCAGGAGAAAGGAGATGGTGATGAGGCAGTGGTGCATGAGGCTGAAGTGAAGCTGGCATCCTTTGAGCAGCATGCAGCATATCGCTGAGCTCAAGCTCAAGGATGTGGGTGTGAAACATCTCACATTAGCAGCACCCCTGTTGAATCGCAAGGAGGCGACGGTGATTGCAGCGACATCGAAATTGTTTGCAAGATACGGTACTCTGCCGATCGAGCAAAAGAATTTGTCTCGAAGAGATTTCGGGAGTGGACCACGGCAAGAGATCTGGAGCATTGCTTCACCGCTGGAGATGAACCTACCGGCAACACCAGAGCAGAGATTGAGATGGGAGTACTGAAGAACGCAACACGAGTTCTCCTGCAGTCCGCTGGACTACCCATTCGGGATTGGCCTACAGCACTTAGGCATGCGGCGGAAGAAAGACATCGTGGACAACTGCGGGCCTTTGGATTGGACCTACCAAGGTTGATCCCATATGGCTGCAAAGCTATGGTTCGCACGAAAACCTGGCATCGTCGCTGGGATGCTTGGAAGCACCCGATGATTGAGGCAACAGTGAGGGTATGGCTTCATCGGCAGAGGCCTACTGGGTGATGACAGTGGACGGCAACCATCGAGGGGGGAGTTCAGGCCATCAGCAATGGCTGCCATCGTGGTCGTCCTGAACGTGATGATAAAGATGCAGCGGAATTACTGCATCTAG